TAACAATGGTGAAAGAAGTAACAGTATTTCACCTGAATACGAATTCGAACCTATTCACTGGCTAACAGAAATCATATTTTTTCTGTCATTCCCTGGCTGATTTACATTTTCAATCCACTATGCCAATAGCAACAATCTGTTACCTGCGGCTTCTCCCATCGCTACTCAGCTTCATCGCATAGGTTTTTCTCTTTATTATATCATTGCTCAACCCGTCGCATTTTTTCACATACTGGTTATATTTGTGCCATTTTTATAGTTTAGTAAATGAGACAGGTGGTGATATGAATGAGTTACAGTTATCCATGATTCCACAGGAGATGATCACTCTGTACCGGGTGCTCCATGAAGTATTAAGTAAAGGTCGGTAAAATATTCTACCCACGGTTGTCTTAATACTAATGTCGAATAAAGCAAAGGTTCAGTGGCACCGTGGATGCCACTTGGCAGTATATTTCCCGTCTGTGTTACCACGAAAAACTGTGTAAACGATCTACCTATCATAAAGTTGGAGAGCAGTGACATTTTTTCTACTCTGAACTGGGCTGGGCGGTGATGTAGACGTTTCACATCATCACTCAACTTCTCTGTAGTCACTGGCGTCATCCGGATTATATTCATTCCGCTCTGAACCAGCCCGGTTAGTAGAAATTAGTGCATTTTTTCACAGATACCTGCCGGTTTTTATTTTACTGGATTAAGACGGTTGATTTGTTCGCACGATTACCAAAAACTCAAACTTCAATCAAACCAAATCTGCTTTTTCAACTTTCATTTGGTCAATCTTGCAGTAATTATTAACTGTGAGATGTTTCTTAACGAACAGCGAAAGGCCGAAACAGCGGTTGGCTTTCCGCACCAGATCCTCAATGGCAGCTGAATTTATTCTCAACAATGTGTTTCCAGGTTAGTGGACCACCGGGTATGGCACGAACAGGTCATTTGGTATTGTGTCATATCAGTGAGAACAGAGTGGAAACTTTGCTGTTACCATGGCCATAATAGTGATTGCCCTATGTGACACCTTTACATTCTCCTCATTTCCTCATTGACCGTCTTTTTCTCACATTTTCACACTTGTTTTATTTATTTCTTGTCTAACATTTCTCATATCATGTCCACTTCACATCTTAGATCTTCAGACCATATCCTTATTAAAGTGTCCCCAAAGGTATACAGCAAGGCCAATCACATTTTGTTCACAAAAA